CCACTTGAGTCACCCGTTGCCCAGAGTTCGCCATCGCGAGAGAAACTGCATTGGATACTATAGCCGTCAACTTGGTGTCCGCCTGAAAAACGAAGCGGTGGGCGACGTCCGCCAACACTGGGGCCTTTGAGGCACTTGTATGGAGCACTTGACGAATACAGCGTCGCATAGCTGCCGGTGCATTGAGCTACGAAGTACGGCCTGTTCGGATGTGCTCGTAAGCAAGAATGCGCCAGTATATTGCCGTCGAGGCGGTCATAGAGTAATGTAGCAGACCGCCAGTCCCAAACTAACAGCGTCTGATTGCTAGCATCCCTCTGCATCACACCAGCACTTGACACGAACCGCTGGCCTTCATCACCGAGGAAAAGCAGGTCGTGAACGTCCCCAAACGATTTCGTGTATGTCGTCACTGCATGCAGCGGGTTTTTCTCGCGAAGATCATGACAGTAAATTTTCCCTTGATCGGTCCCAAGGAGCAGTGATTTTGGCTCAACCGGGTGGAAACACGCGCTTGTGATGCGCTCAATTCTTGCAGAGGGGATCGCCGTGTCAGGCCGTCGCAGTTCCTGCTGGGTTTGACCAGTCTCAGTGTCCACACAGCACGCCAGCCCGTCGTATCCACCTGAAAGTATTTGCCTGCCGTCAAGCGACCACTTCGCGCGTTTGACCCCGAGCGAATGGTGCGTCAGCTCACGCCGAGACCTCTCTCGCTCCTCTGCTGAGCACTTCCAAACTCGCACTGTAGCATCCATAGACGCCGACAAAAAGAGGTCTGAATATTGCGGGTGCCATTGCAACTCGTTCACTGCCTTGTCGTGGCCAATAAACCGTTGCCGGTCTCTTTTCCGCAATGGAGCTACCGTCTTGTGTCTGGAATCCGTAGTCGAAATGCTTGGGATTTCGTCGCTTCTCTCGAACAAAGGCAGATCGTTGCTTGAGCCTCTAGTATCCAGCTCGCCTGAGGCGACAATAGGCGGAGTAGCGTGTCGCCGTCGCCTCTTGCTTGCGTAGCCGCGGAACTTGAAGGCGTCTTCCTCTCTCGTGCTTTGATGGGCAAAGGCTCGACGCTGGCCTGCCAGTCGCTCGGCAACGCGAAGGCGCCTGTTCTCGTCTTCATTTGCCACAACGGGGAGAGACATAGAGGGCGCTGAAGCTCCTGTTGTACCTGTTGGATTACCACCACTGGTGCTCGGCGAGGACGGCGGCGACGGGGAGGAGGCGTACTGCAAGATGGCGTCCATCTTGGTCTCTTGAGCTGCTGCGTGTTTAACATGCGCTCGACCAATCAGATGCGTTCGTTCCTATATTGTCCAATCAAAAGCGACCTGAAACGGCGGAATGCCATTCTGACCTCAGATTTCATAGTTGAACTGCTCCTGAGTATCCGACGTAGACGTCGCCGCAATGCCCGCCGATCGCAACGCTGCCGAGCCCCCGCGCGTGTACGCGGCGGGCGACTTCAGCTGGATGGAGGACGAGCGCTACGGCGGCAAGAAGTCGCTCTGGACGCGCGTGAAGGAGGACCCGCTCGTGCCGCTCGGCTGTGCGGCGACCACGGCCGTGCTACTGGGCGGACTGATCACCTTCCAGCGCGGCCAATCCAAGCTGGGCAACAAGTTCATGCAGGCGCGTGTCGTGGCACAGACAGCCACGGTCATCGCTCTTGCGGGAGGTGCTGCGCTGGCCGCTGGCGAGAAGCAGGAGAAGAAGAAGCAGAGCTACGAGGACCGCATGAAGATCCAGCTACGCGACGAGGGCAAGTGAGCCAACGGCACTTCAGCTTAGTTAACGACCTGGTAGCGATGATAAAAATACTGAAGAAAAACGAGAAGAAGGACAAGCAGGAGAAGATGATGATGATAAAGAAGAAGAAGATGATGAAGGAGGAGAAGCTGAGGTCACCGATAACGGTGTCAATACTATTTTGTAACGGCCGTCACTAGGGGCCACCCCCTACTGACCGATCTTGAAGCGACGCGATCCTTCACCACAGCCGCCGCACTCCGCATTCATTTACTCGCCCAGTGTCCTGCACTAGCGGCCATGAACGGGTACCTGCGCAGCAAATGCTCGTCCGAGCAGCAGCTGCTGAATGAGCTGGCCAAGTTGCTGGGCGCCAAGGACGTGGCGTCGCGCAAGATGGCGGACGTACTGCGCGCGCTCACCTTCTTCTACACGTCGGCGGCGCGGGGCTCGCGCATCCCGCAGTCGCTGCTCAGCGGGCTGTGCAGCCTGCTGCCGCAGCTCAAGGACAAGAAGGAGATGGTTCTCCTCAAGGACGAGCACCAGCGTATCGCCCGCATCGCGCTGTGTCTCCTCGCGCGACTCATCGACCAGTTCGAGATCCAGAGGGAGGTGGCAGCCAGACTCACGGACTCGCAGAAGCTCAACCAAGAGCAGAGTGTCGATCCAGCAGAGCAAGTGTTAAGCAGCTTCCTGGTGACGCTGGAGACGGCAGTGACGACGCCCGCAGGGCTGTTACTGCCCAGACAGCGAGCCACTCTACGAGTGTACGCACAACTGTGTCGGGTTTTCCGCAAAAGGGAGCAACTGGTGACTTTTGCGACGACGCTGCTGCAGCAGTCACCGGTACTGGCTGAACATGCAGTGGATGCTAAGGGGAAGAAGGTCGCTCCACCGGGACCTGCACAATTTGGAGCTGTGGCGGGAGCTTGCCATGCACTGAGGTTCCATGTGGTGCAGGATGAGCAAGTGTTTGCCGTGGATAAATTGGTGCAACTCGCCTTCACGATGCCGTCGGGTACACCCTCTCGACACGCTGCAAAAACGTTGCTGTCACTCTTGACGTCGTCCTCGTTGAATGAAGACAGACCGTCGAATGCAATGACGACAGCGAAGGCGATTGAGCTGTACTTGCTGAAAGCGCGCCCGCGTACGTTACTTGGTGGCGATTCCCTGACTTCTGTGTACCTGCTGCGCCTGTGTGGTCAAATGTACCGATTTCCAGTCCATCAACAGCAGCAGCAGCAGCAGCAGCAGCAACAGCAGCAGCAGCATTCCTTTGCGAACGGCCCTGGCCCAAATCCCGACGCGACACTATTAGAGACATCGTCTGGTACAAGTCAACTATCGACCGACCAGAACCCAGCTCTTCAAGGATTTTTCATCTCAAATGCACTCTCAGCGCAGCTACAGGACTACTTTACCGACATTGTCCAAGGTGCTGCGACCGATGGCTCGCCCGTTAAGGGCATGGCACCCCCCGCTGTACTTCTAGTGGCTATCGAGGAGGTGCTGCGTGGAACTTCCCCGGAGGCGAGTGTTCGTAAGCAGCCGAATTGGGGCTCAGCGTGCCTTTTTGAGCTTGTGGCAGCTGCCTTGCTGCCCCTGCTTCCGACGCCAGCTAAACCAGCCTTCAGTACGGTCACGTTGCATCGTGTGTGCCGCGCGGTGCAATTCGTAGCTGAGCGTCTCGATACAATCGTACTTCAACTGGGTGCGTCGTCTGGACAGACGATGGAGATTCCAGCCTACTTGAACAACCTTACAACTCGCATCCGCTCGCTGACGGAGCACAGCAATGCATTTATAGCTTGCGAGGCTCTTCGTGCCTATGTCTGGCTGATACGGCGTAGTAGCGGACGTGTCGAACCCAACCAAGACGACTGGGCGAACCTCTTTTGGAAACTTGAGGCACTTCCGTTTAACCGAATTCAGCCAGAACGCCGGGCTGCGATTGCCTGGACATTATTTCGCCGTTGCGTGACCACACCAAAGTCGTATGGGTATGGCGTGGAGACAGCTTTGCTTGCTGGATGCCTTCGCATAGTGCTCGCGTGGTTTCGAATGCGGCCTTGTGTCTGGCAAGCTGCTCTGATGACGGCAATTTGGTATACGGCACTTCGAGAGTGCCTGGCGACCTTGGGAGACACTGTGTTTTCATGCATTAACGACCTTCTGGACTTTCAGTGTGCTCCTACGGACAGCGCGGCCCCAGACAGCCTCGTGGTGAAGCAAAGTGCTATGCAATTCCTAAGCCATCGAGAAGGAGGGATGCGATATGCTGTTCGGAACAAGGTGTGGAATTCTCCCCTTATTTCGCGTCTCATTAAGCAGGCGCTACTCGAAACCTGCACATCGCAGCGATTAAGCGTTCGAGCTCTCTCACAGCTGCGGGATGAAGCACAACTTCAAGGGTTCACTCCGCTCTCACAGCAAGTCAATTCGACTTTGGGCTTCTTGCAGAAGACATCGCAGCAGTCCGCAGCGGGTGGAGAAGAGTCCAAAAACCAATCACTTTCTCTCGACACCGAACCATTTTCCGATGCAAGAGCTGGTGATGCTGCAGCTCTCACAAATGATGATCCATTTTCAGATTTCAGAGCTCCTGATGCAGCAACGGAAACTAAGACCCTTGATGATCCTTTTGCTGATGCCATTCGAAGCAAGAGTGAGGCAGCATCCGATTTTACCAGTTGGAAGGATACCGATCTGAGGAGTAAGACTGACGAATCTTCCGTAAACGACTTCAAGACCCCAGCAAATAGTTTCTTCAGTGGTGATTCCTGGGTGAATAATGACGTCGTGGATGAGAAGAGCAGCACTAGCACTGACACCTTCGCAACTGCATTCGCAACTGCAAGTACACCATCCTTTTTCAACTGGGAGAGCGATTCTAAGGATACCGAAAAGGACCAAGTGAGCAGTTCAAACGATACTTTCTTCGGAAACTTTTCATCACCTGACGGAACGGAAACTACGTTTGCATCATGGGGGGACGGAACCACAACCGATTCGTCCCCCTTGAACACTGATGTCAATACAGGGTGGTCAAGCGACTTCGGCTCGTCCGCGTTCGATGGCGACGCGGTGGCCGGCGAGGCTGGCACGACGGCCAGCTTCACGGTGGAGACGCACGAAACGACCACCTCGGTGAGCACGACGGAGGAGACCGCCACCTTCGACGCACCCGCAGCAGACTTCGGTGCGGCGGCAGACTTTGACGCACCGGCAGCAGACTTTGACGCACCGGCAGCTGACTTTGGTGCGGCAGCAGACTTCGGCCCGCCCGCCGAATCTTCAGCACCCGACTTCGGTGCCGCAGCAGAGCGGCCTGGCGACTTTGGTGACTCGTCCGCGTTCGATGGCGACGCGGTGGCCGGCGAGGCTGGCACGACGGCCAGCTTCACGGTGGAGACGCACGAAACGACCACCTCGGTGAGCACGACGGAGGAGACCGCCACCTTCGACGCACCCGCAGCAGACTTCGGTGCGGCGGCAGACTTTGACGCACCGGCAGCAGACTTTGACGCACCGGCAGCTGACTTTGGTGCGGCAGCAGACTTCGGCCCGCCCGCCGAATCTTCAGCACCCGACTTCGGTGCCGCAGCAGAGCGGCCTGGCGACTTTGGTGACTCGTCCGCGTTCGATGGCGACGCGGTGGCCGGCGAGGCTGGCACGACGGCCAGCTTCACGGTGGAGACGCACGAAACGACCACCTCGGTGAGCACGACCTCGGTGAGCACGACGGAGGAGACCGCCACCTTCGGTGCGGCGGCAGACTTTGACGCACCGGCAGCAGACTTTGACGCACCGGCAGCTGACTTTGGTGCGGCAGCAGACTTCGGCCCGCCCGCCGAATCTTCAGCACCCGACTTCGGTGCCGCAGCAGAGCGGCCTGGCGACTTTGGTGACTCGTCCGCGTTCGATGGCGACGCGGTGGCCGGCGAGGCTGGCACGACGGCCAGCTTCACGGTGGAGACGCACGAAACGACCACCTCGGTGAGCACGACCTCGGTGAGCACGACGGAGGAGACCGCCACCTTCGGTGCGGCGGCAGACTTTGACGCACCGGCAGCAGACTTTGACGCACCGGCAGCTGACTTTGGTGCGGCAGCAGACTTCGGCCCGCCCGCCGAATCTTCAGCACCCGACTTCGGTGCCGCAGCAGAGCGGCCTGGCGACTTTGGTGACTCGTCCGCGTTCGATGGCGACGCGGTGGCCGGCGAGGCTGGCACGACGGCCAGCTTCACGGTGGAGACGCACGAAACGACCACCTCGGTGAGCACGACGGAGGAGACCGCCACGGGGATC